CGCCTAAATATGTGAAGGAAAGACTGCTGGAGCTAAAAGGAGACATAGGGAAAAATACTATAATTGTTGGAGATCTCAACACCCCGTTATCTCCTATAGACAGATCTTCTAGACAGAAAATAAATAGAGAGATACAGGACTTAAATGATACTATAAATGGAATGGGCTTGACAGATATCTATAGAACTTTCCACCCTACATCCACAACATATACATTTTTCTCACCCCGACATGGAACCTTTTCAAAGATAGATCATATATTAGGACACAAATCAAGCCTTTACAGATTCAAAGGCATAGAAACTGTACCCAGCATCTTCTCTGACCATGATGGAATTAAACTCAAGATTAATTTCAAGAAACAACCCCGAAAACACACGAACACATGGAAACTGAACAACCTACTTCTGAATGACTTCTTCACTACTGAAGAAATTAAGGCTGAAATAAACAAATTTATGGAAACAAATGATAATGAGGACACAAGTGTCCAGAACCTATGGGACACAGCAAAAGCAGTCATAAGAGGGAAATTCATAGCAATTAGTGCACATAAGAAAAGGATGGAAAGATGGCAAGTAGATAACTTATCATCATGCCTCAGAGAACTGGAAAAACAACAACAAACGAACCCCCAAAATGCCAGGCGAAAAGAAATAATAAAGGTTCGAGCAGAAATAAATGAAATAGAAAATAAACGAACCATACAGAAAATAAATGAAAGCAAAAGCTGGTTCTTTGAAAAGATCAACAAGATTGATACTCCATTGGCTAGACTGATCAAGAAGAAGAAAGAAAGAAACCAGATTAATCAAATATGTGATGAAACAGGCAATATTACCACGGACATAGCAGAAATACATAATATCATTAGAGGATACTATGAGCGACTTTACGCCAACAAACAAGATAACCTGGAGGAGATGGACAAATTCCTGGATGCATATAAACTACCAAGATTGGATCAGGAAGACATAGAGAATCTGAATAGACCTATAACAAGCCAGGAGATTGAATCAGTAATTAATAATCTCCCAACAAAGAAAAGCCCAGGCCCAGATGGCTTCACTTGTGAATTCTACAAAACTTTCAAGGAAGAATTAACCCCTATCTTACTAAAATTATTTCTAAAGATTCAAAAGGAAGGAAACCTTCCAAATTCATTTTATGAAGCCTCCATCATCCTCATCCCCAAAACAGATAAGGATATGACAAAAAAGGAAAACTACAGACCAATATCATTGATGAATATAGATGCGAAAATTCTCAACAAGATACTCGCAAATCGTATCCAACAACATATAACAAAGATCATTCATCACGACCAGGTAGGCTTTATACCAGGGATGCAAGGGTGGTTCAATATACGCAAGACCATAAATGTAATACACCACATTAACAGAAAGAAAGATAAAAACCATATGATCATCTCAATTGATGCGGAGAAAGCGTTTGATAAAATACAACATCCTTTTATGATTAAGACTCTCAGTAAGATTGGTATAGAAGGGTCATTTCTGAACACAATAAAAGCAATCTATGAAAAACCTACAGCTAATATTATACTGAATGGGGAAAAGCTGAAAGCTTTTCCTCTGAAAACAGGTACTAGGCAAGGCTGCCCACTTTCTCCACTGCTCTTTAATATAGTACTGGAAGTCTTAGCTATTGCAATCAGAGAAGAGAACAGTATTAAAGGCATTCGAATAGGCAAAGAAGAGTTGAAAATATCTTTATTTGCAGATGACATGATGGTATACTTAGAAGACCCAAAGGTATCCATGAAAAAACTGCTTGAAGTAATAAGTGAATACAGTAAGGTGGCAGGATACAAAATCAATATCCAAAAATCTATAGCATTTCTATTTATGAACAACAAGTTGAATGAAGCAGAGCTGAAGAAAGGAATCCCTTTCACCGTAGCCACAAGATGTATAAGATATCTAGGGATAAACCTAACTAAGAAAGTCAAAGACCTTTATAAAGAAAACTACGAGAATCTTAAAAAAGACATTGAAAGTGACATAAAAAAGTGGAAGGACATCCCATGCTCCTGGATTGGTAGAATTAACATAATCAAAATGGCAATTCTACCCAAATTAATCTACATGTTTAATGCAATTCCAATCAAAATACCAGAGATATTCTTCAGAGATCTAGAAAAGACAATTATAGAATTTGTCTGGAACCATAAAAGACCTCGTATTGCAAAAGCAATCCTGCGTAAGAAGAATGGAGTAGGAGGCATATCACTCCCTGATCCCAAGATATACTATAAAGCTGTGGTCATCAAAACAGCATGGTATTGGCATAAAAACAGACATGTGGACCAATGGAAGAGAATAGAGACCCCAGAAATAACTCCCAAAGCTTATAGCCAACTGATCTTTGACAAAGGATATCAGTCAATCCATTGGGAAAAGGAAAACCTCTTTAGTAAATGGTGCTGGAAAAACTGGGTATCCACCTGCAGAAAGATGAAACTGAACCCCCATCTTTCACCATTAACAACAGTCAACTCAAAATGGATCAAAGATCTGAACCTAAGACCTCAGACAATAAAACTACTTGTGGAAAATGCTGGGGAAACTCTGGGAGACATTGGAGTAGGCAAAGACTTCTTAAATAAGACTCCCAAAGCACAGGCAATAATCCCTAAAATAGACAAGTGGGACTATATTAGACTAAGAAGTTTCTGCACAGCAAAGGACACAGTAACAAGTGTGAACCGACAACCCTCAGAATGGGAAAATATTTTTGTTAAATATGCCTCAGACAAGGGACTGATAACGAGAATACATAGGGAACTCAAGTGCCTTATGCGAAAAAAAATGATTAACCCGATTAAAAGATGGGAAAGTGAGCTGAACAAAAGTCTCTCTAAGGAAGACATACGAACAGCCAAAAAGCATATGAGGAAATGCTCAACATCCCTCATCATAAGGGAGATGCAGATAAAAACCACAATGAGATACCACCTAACCCCTGTCAGAATGGCAAAGATTAAGAATATAAAAAGTGATAAGTGTTGGCGGGGATGTGGTGAAAAGGGAACCCTCCTACACTGTTGGTGGGAATGTAAACTAGTTCAACCACTGTGGAGAACAATATGGAGGTTCCTCAAAGATCTACAAATAGAACTACCATTTGATCCAGCAATCCCACTTCTGGGTATTTACCCAAAAGACAGGAGAACGCTCAGTCAGAAAAGTGCTTGCACATCAATGTTTATTGCAGCATTATTCACAATTGCCAAGACATGGAACCAACCTAAATGTCCACAAATTGATGAATGGATTGGAAAAGTGTCGTATGTATACTCTATGGAATACTACTCAGCCATAAAAAATAACAAGACCCTGGAATTTGATAGAAAATGGTCAGATATGGAGGATCTATTGCTGAGTGAAGTAAGCCAGGCTATGAAAGAAAGATATTGTATGTATCCACTCAATATATACCGACTATCCGCACTCTATAATAGAGAGCAAAAATTCGGAGGACATAAACACAGTGAAGGTACTTAATGAGAATAGGACAGTGTGGAATGGGGTAAGTGAAGAGAAGAGGATAGAGAAAGATAGCAAGTGAACAATAGAGAGACAGGACGTTAGTGAGAAACAGATAGGGGTTATTAACTGTTGATGATGACATGTATAGTATTCTCAACTGGATTGGTCTGAGAAGTATTTCATGATGGGCAAAGTATTTTTACAAGCAAAACGAGAAATAGCAATTGACTGTTTTATAAAAATAATTAGAATAATAAAAATAATGATTGGGGAAAACAGAAAAGATATGGAATGTTGAAGTGGGGAGATTAATGTCTCTGTACTGTACTGACTGACATGCATGACATTCCCTTTTGAAAAACAATGTAATACACTGTAAAGTTATATGTAATCTAATGTAATATAAAGAAGATTATGATGATAATAAAAATAAAAAAGAAAAAGAAAGAATCTTCTCTCAGAGGTCCATCAGCTTTTTACCATTATTGAGATCTCAATTCCACAAAGATGATTTCTCTATCATAATGGAAGTACATTGCCAATCAATCTCTACCGTATTATTCTATCTTCTGAATAGCACTATTGAGATCTAATATTTTTCTAATTCATGATCTTTGCTCTCTCTAATAGAATGTAAACTGTTGTGCTGCACTACGTATCTACAAAATTGTCTGCCAAATATTTGTTGACTGACTCTCTTCATGTTTATCTTCCAAATTTCTCTGTACTTTCTCTCCTTCTAAAGTTTCCTGTTTTCCCCTAAGAATCAAATCTTTGTACTGTGTTCTCTGGCTTTCTAGTTGCATAGAAAAGAACCATTCCTACATCCTCTGCTTCTTTGCTATACATTTTGCTTCTTCCTCCTGTCTCTCATGAGAATAAGATTCCCTCTGTGGGAGCAGCAAATAGCATAATGGTTACGTCGCTGGACTTCACATGGCCAACTGTGGTTCAAGTCCTGGACCCAGAGGCTTAAACTCACACCAGGCGTGTGTGCGTGTGTGCCCAAGATCCCAAGATGAGAATGGAGGAGAAGGGATTGCGGTGTGGCCATCCCCCTGGGGGAGTAATTTCTCACTTTTTGGCTGTCTGTTGAGCACGCACACACCCTATAGTAAAAATCTCTCAAAAAAAAAAAAAAAAGACTTCCTCTACGGTTTATAGGGTTGATAGGTGTCTTTGTGCTTGCTATTGATACTCCTTGACCTTGATTGCAGTACCCTTTAGTTAAACCCCTCTTCTCTCAATCCCACCAGAGTAAGAGTTTGATGTCATCTTGATTTACCATCCTCTAAGTCTCATTGTTTTGGTCATCATCTAAATTCCTTAATTTACCCATCAGCTTCATCTAGATTTTTTCACCTGATTCTCAGGATTCCTTTGTGAAGCAATCTTTGGAGTCTCAGTGCTGCCTTTCCTAACATTTCAGTACCTGGTAAAGTCAACACTTACAGTAGCAAGGTAAAGTAATAACCAATAGATTCATACCTGCTTCTTAGAACATGTGGGGAGCTACTCATCCCATAATCCCAAAGACGCTCCACTGCAGCAATAAAATAGTGTCGTGTTCTTTTATGAAAGCTGCGGGGGTCCTGATTTTCATCCTCACCATAAATGTCAAAATCTTCTCTCTTTATTTCAATTGAGAGGGTATCATCATAGCCAATTTCTTCCTGGTTTGACTGAAGAGTAGGTAAGATTATTTCTCTTTGAAGGCGTTTCAAGACTGGTAGGTTTTGAGAGTACAACCTTCCAGCTCCTCCTTGTTCTGCCCAAGTGGTTTCTCTTTGGGGCTTATCTTGTTGTTCATTTATTGCTGCTAGTGCATGATGCCTTTCATAAGGGTTCAAAGACAAAATGGTGTTATTTGTCTTAAAAGATGTGTTTTTTGGTGACTTCTCTTGGGATTTCCATTTTTCTTTTAGTATCTGGGTCTCATATTGGTTATCCCAAACAAAACGACCCAGCAGCTTGGAAGGAGTCTTTTCAGAACTTTCTATTGCTCCTTTCAGAAAGTGTACCTTTCCAGGTCCATTTGTTTTATTCTGTTTAATAGCTCCCTGTGTTTTCTGAAGAACATTCTCTTCCATGAGATTCAGGTGGCCAGGAGGCTCATTGTTAATTTCTGTAGGGAACTGATCTTCCTGATGAAAGTGAATTTTAGGAAGGAGTTCAACTTTTCCAGGTGCATTAGGCCAGCCTCGTTTCAAGAGAACAGTATTCTTAAGTTTCTTGTATATGACTGAATTTGTGGCACTTGTTTCCAAGGAACCAACCTTTCCTTGATTTCTGATTACCTTTGAGGTTAGGATGTTTAAAGAAAGGTTATTTTTTTTTACTCCTTGTAAGAAATGACTGCTTTCTTCAACCACAGAATTTCTCCCCATAAAAGTATTACTACAGGCTGATGCTAGAAGATGAGAAGAGCTGTTTAGGGATGGGATCCTAGTCAGATATGTAGGTCTAATTGATGGAAATGCAGATACATTTGCAATGACTATTGCAGAGTTATTTGTGTGAGTGATCCCATGATTCCTCACAGAATAATCTGATAAGTGAGCCTGAGCAGTGATCCTTTTCTCCTTCTTGTTGAGTTTTATCTGTGTAAGGGTTCCCTGGATCAAATATTTCATGTTTCTGGGCCAATGGGTTGAGGTATCATTCACAATTAGCCCCCTTTCAAGCTCTTTTTCTTCTAGTGGGACTCTGAATAGCTTCAAAGCCCTCTTCCCACGTTCAGTGATAACATCATGCTGGCTTGGATTAGGAGACATCCCTGTGGTTCTTGGATACTTGCCTACCAATTGCTTGGTCTGATTTTCTAAGCCTTCCAAATTTGTCTCCTCTCTTCTTTTTGAGAAATAGACCATGTGAATCTCTGCTCTGTTTGCTGAATCATTTAATGATCTGGTGTCTTGAGATATTGGAGCATATGCTTTCTCATCTAAATCTTCTGCATTTTGCCTATTACTCAGTAAGAAAAGGTTCTTCAGGAAATTCTTAGTGCCAGTCAATGTATACACCTGAGGCAAGACTACATTCTCTTTTAATGTTTCCATACTTTCTATCTCTTCCTGAAATGTTTTTTCTTGGTTGTGTGTATCATTTTCTTGTATATTAGCTACATTAGTAAGAAAGATGCTCTTGCTGCTTGGAAAAACAATCTCTTTAAGTCCTGTGTCCTTTGTAAATTCATGCACTTTATTATTCTCTGACAAGAAATTCTGATCTTTCACAGACTTTTCTGATCCTAAGGGTATTAATTGTTTTGAATTGGACCCCTGCCCAGAGTTGAGGGAATTCCTTCCATGAGTTCTTTTTATCCAATTTGCTGATTCTGGCAAGAGCAGCATCTTGAAGAAGGATGTATCTAGATTTTCTGCATTTGGTAACACAGAACCTTCTTTTGGGTATGTCGCTTCCATATTTTTTGATGAGGCAGTTTTACTGGGTACATGATTTGGCCATAAAGCTGTAGTATTTGTATCTGCAAACATTTTATCTGGAATCAAAGATTTCTCTTCTTGAAACTCTGTATCATTTTCTAATACAATATCTTGCCATACTAAAGTGCTATTATCAATGAATAATGTTGGGTCACCATTACGAGTCTTTCCATTAGTTGTTGAATTAGTGGATGCCTTGCTTGTCTTTACCAAAGAGATATTAACTTTAAATAAAGTATTATCTTTAATCAACAAAGCAGGTTCATGAACTCTTTTCTCTTTAACTAACATATCAGTCTGCATTAATGATACATTTTTTCTTAGTGAACTTTCTTGACTATTCACTGAAGCTGCTTCTAATAACTTGGAATAATTATTTCTTTCACTCAAGCTCAGAGGTACACCAGACCCAATAAGGGGAGAGGATTTTTTGTTAAAGATAGTGGTGCTTAAATGACTACTAAAGTGAACTGGCATATTTGGAAGTTCTAAGAAACCCATATTTTCAGTGTCTGATGCCAAGCTGTCTGATGGAATTCTTGGTGAAGTCGTTAGATTATCTGATGAACTAGAAACTTTTAAATCAAATTTATTCAATTCTACTGCTGTAGTTGTACCAAAATTCTCATTTAATCTTAATTGAAGGCCTGATTCAGGAGTAAATACTATATTTCCACTGTAATGAAGTTCTGGCCTGGGATGTGCCACTTCAGAGGGGCCCTCATTTCTATTTATTGCTCCAGGTGAATGATCTTCAGGAATAGTCTCATATGTATCTTCTTGAGGTGAAGATAAGGATAATCTATGTGCAGTAGGACTCTGTTCCAAAAGAATCAACAACTCACTAGAGGAGACATTTTGTACTGTAAGCATCTGTGTTCTCTCTCCAAACTGAGGGTCAATCTTCTTGATGTCATTTTCTGGAATTGTGGTGGCTTTGAATTGCTTTTTCTTAGTGTTAGGGTGCCTTGAAGTCTGGGAGAAGCTTCTGGGTTCAACTACATTAGTTTCACTCAGCAAGTATGTTGAAATACCTTCATATGTGTCTTCATAGTAATCACCAGTGTTTCTGCCACAACTAGAGACCTTTAATAAGGCTGTCATGCCTCTGTTCCGAAAATCTGAGTTGTGGCACCCCAGAACCCATAGACCTGGAAATAAGGAAAAATAAGACTTTGGTTACTCATAACCCAGGTTTCAAACAAGTCGTGTGTCAGATGTGACCTCCCATTCCCAGACAAATGAAAAAAATACTAGTCAGTTCCATTATATCACAGGTTAAATCCCTGACACATGTAACAGTCTGACAATGGTGATAAAAGTGTTTCTTTTTTTTTTTTTTTTGCATTGCTACTGTTATGCTATATCTATTTGTGACCCCAATAAAAGGCTGTGATTAAAAATGTTCAGAGGCCCAGCCATGGTAGTAGGGGTGCTGCTGAATGATGCTGCAGACCATATGGGGATGGGAAGCCTCCAGGTTTGCTTGTGTCCTGGATTTACCTGAATATGTTGGACACACTTGCAGGTGTACCTGTGATCCTAAATGGCTGTAGGATTTTGGGGAAGACCACAGCATGAAGACCCTCTATAGGATGTCTCTCTCTTTTTCTCAAAAAATAAACTTTAAAAAATGAATAAATGTTAGGATAAAAATGGAGAAATGGGGCCATGAGGTGGCATGGAGTTTAAAGTGGCTGGCAAACAGGACCATTTCAGTACTGGATGGGCAACTTGAAAATAAGTTAAGCACATTTGCGTGCATGCCCCAAATCCCAAGGGGAGAATGGAGAAGAAGGGACTGCAGCATGGCCATCCTCCCTGGGGAGTGATTTCTCACTTTTCCTCTCTCTCTTTCTCCAGTGAGTGCACACACCCTATGGAAAACTAAACATAAACAAAAAAATTGGGGAAATGTAATTAATGTATACAACAGTGAATAGTCTTAATAGTCACATAGAGCATTCTGATAGTGACAGTGATTTACTTCAGAAAGCTTTAACAAGCAATGATATTGAATCAGTAATGGTCTCTCAACAAAGAAAAGCCCAGGTCCTGATGGTCTCACTTCTGAATTCTACAAAACTTTTAAAGAAGAGCTAATCCCTATTCTCCTCAAACTATTTCTAAAGATCCAAAAGTAAAGAACCCTTCCAAATTCATTCTATGAAGCATCCATCACCCTGACCCCTAAAACAGACAGGGACATAACAAAAAAAATTGCAGACCAATATCCCTTATGAATACAGATGCAAAAATTCTCAAAACGATACTAGCAATTCACATCCAACAACACATTAAAAAGATTATACACCATGACCAGGTAGGCTTTATTCCAGGGATGCAAAGGTGTTTCAACATATGCAAAACAATAAATGTAATACATCACACTAACAGAAGGAAAAATAAAAACCATATGATCATATCAATCAGTGCAGAAAAACATGAGATAAAGTACAACATCCCTTCATGATTAAGACTCTCAGGTAAAACTGGCATAAAAAAATTCCTTGACACAGTAAAAGCCATATATGACAAACCCATGGCTATCATAGTGAATGAGAAAAAGCTGAAAACTTTTCCACTAAGAACAGGAACAAGACAAGGCTGCCCCCTTTCTCCATTCCTTTTCAAAATAATACTGGAAGTCCTAGCCAATGCAATCAGATGAACGAGTGAAATAAGAGATGCTCAAGTAGGAAAAAGAGGAAGTGAAATTATCTCTGTTTGCAGATAACATGATTATGTCCATAGAAAATCCAAAAGAATCTACAAAAAACTCCTGAAAGTGATAAATGCAGTAAAGTGGCAAGATACAAAATCAACATACAAAAATCTATAGCATTTGTATACAACCAACAATGGACAGACTGAGATAGAATTGAAGAAAGCAATCCCATTTACAATAGTCACAAAACCAATAAGATATCTAGCTCTAAACCTAACCAAAGAAGTGAAAGACCGTTACAAAGAAAACTATGACAAACTTTAAAATGAAATTGAAAATTAAACAAAATAGTGGAAATATATCCTATGTTCCTGGATTGGAAGAACTAATATAATCAAAACATCAATTCTACCCAGTTAATTTATAAATTTATTGCAATCCTGATCAAATTACCAGAGATATTCTTCACAGAATTAGAAAAAGTGATAAAATTTGTCTACAAGCAATCTTCTCTAGGAGCTTTATTTAGCTTGTGCTTTGTAATCAATAATAGTACATCAAAAATTTTTCTCTTGGGGGAACCAGCAGCTAGCATAATGGCTGTGTCGCTGGACTCCCATGTAGTCAACCGCGGTTCGCGTCCCGGACCTGGTGGCTTAAAACTCACGCCGGGCGCGTGTGTGTGTGTGCCCAGGATCCCAAGAGGAGAATGGAGGAGAGGGGATTACGGCGTGACCATCCCCCCTGGGGGGTGATTTCTCGCTTTCTGTCTCTCTGTCTCTCTCTGTCTGTCTGGCGAACGCATG